CTTCAGATATGTGTGTTTTAATTAAAATATACACAGAGGTTAGGTAGTTAATAGGACCATGGAGTAGGAAGGGAATCTATTAAGGAAGGGGAACCAGAATATAATATTATAAAGGGATAATGGATAATGGAGGGAGATGGAACAGGAAGGATTGAATGGGGTCAGAAATGGGAACAAAAAGGTAAAGGAGGGAATTGGAGAGGGATAACTAATACTGAAGACCTTTTGAAAAAGGCATATGGAGAGTCTGTTTTGTTGTAGTTTGTGTGTGTGTGATTCCTTTTCCTTTTTCTTTTTTTTAAACAGTCTCAACTCTATAGCACTATCCTCTAAGTGTTAGTGATCTTTCTGCCTCTGCCACCCAAATAGTGGGATCCCAACTGTGTAACTCTATGCCTAGATCTGTATTTCTGTTTTTGCATGTATACAATACTGCTTTTTTTTTTTAATTATGAGTCTGTGGTTAGATAAGACATCAGGTATTGTACTACCTTTAGCATTATAGTTTCTGCTCAGGATTGCTTTGATGATTCAGTCTTTTGTACTTACGTAAATCTTTTAGGATTGTTTTTCTGTTGCTGAGTATAATTGATTATGTAGATCTATTTTGGTAATAGTGTCATTCAATTTTGCTTTGTTTGTCTGGTGACAGTTTGGTTTAAAGAGTTTTTAGAAGACGGAAATATAGAACATTTTCCCTAAGTTACTATGATTAGTATGTGAATAGTCTTAAAATGACAACTTGCATAAAGTTGTGTGCTTTTAGGTGCAATTAATAGCAGCTTTATTGAGCACTTGGCATTTTAAAATTAATACACATTTCTGTCCTTCTATAGCTTATATAATGTAGTCTAAAAGGCCTATACAGGGCAGAAAACATTTTGTTTTTCATATTGATCTAATTTAACTAATAGGTGAATAACTAATAACTTTTAAGAACAGTGTTATTGGTGTGAGGGGCCAGGCAGGATTGCATTATAAAGTGTAAACTGGTTAAGCCAGCTTTTTATTTTTTTTTTAAACTGGATATTTTTAAATTCGATTTCATAAGGACAGTCATTTAATATACATTAATTAATTAATGTGTATATGCAATATACATTAATATACTATTTGATTTGTTATATTGTATGAGTCATTTGTTATATTGAATCACTCTGAAAGATACCTGGTAAGTTTACAAACACATCACATGAATAACTAGAAAATAATAGATAACAATAATATATGTTGTTTCATTGAGTTGTTACATGGTCAAGGATGACTTCCTGACTTCATTCCCCAAATTCTGGGAATATAAGCATGTACCCCTGCATCTAGCTTCTGTTGTACTGTAATTAAGAATCTCCTACATATTAGGCAGATATTATTTGCCAGAAGTTACAGACACAAAGTTTTAAAATACTGTTTAAATTTTAGACATTATCTTCTTTGTGTTATTATATGTTCATGGTTGAAATTACATAGATAATTACATGTAAGTGAGATGAGGAAAACACCCAATATTTGTTGAAAATTACTCTTTACTATTGAGATTCAAGTGCTTTTCAGTTACTTAGCTGTGTTGCATCAAGATGTCATAGTTGATCAGTGAACTGATTGATTGATGTCATTCTTTTCTCTTATTCCAGTTCATAAAAATGTTAAGTAGCACTTTGAAGGAATAATATTTATATATCATATTTTTATCATTTAGATTATATGTTTTGGAGGTAACACTCTGAGAAGGTTGTTTGACTGATTTAGCCCTTAATAAATTTGAGAGAATAAGAGCATTATTTTACACATTGTTGACTCAGCTCTCCATCGATGGCAAGGATTTCTGCCATCACAAAGGTTTCTGTTTCTTTCTTATTATGTCCCTGTCATTCTACTTCATTCTAGGTAGACATTATTTCTCTTGGTATCCTTTTCTCAAAATCTTTAATGACCTTTTGTGTAGTTCATGGGCAACAAATCACCAAATGGGAGATTGGGCACATCTGTGTTCTGGCTTCTGTTGAAGTAGTTAGCTTGATTTTATATGCCTAATCTATTTTGTAAAAGTTTATACAGGTCTGATATTTGCCCAGTCTCTTGAGTACATTCCTATTTTACTATGGCTTGCATGCTGTTGATTCCCATGGAGATTTGAAGTTCATTCAAAGTATAGGAGCCAAATGTACACAGAGGAGGTTTCCCAGCTCCACCAGAACAAACAAATAAGCATCCAGTTAAAGGTTGTCTTTGTTTCCTTAGATATTTTTTTCCCTCAGAAATATGGTTCTGCATCTTACTGACCTATTTTCTAGGATTGCTTCAATCATTATCCTGCTCAGATTTAACTTTGTTTTAAGAGAGAGCATGTCATTGTTGCTACTTTCAATGTCTTTATGCTGCAAGGAAATTAGAAGACTTTTACTATGAGTTCAAGCTTTTATTTACTTATTTTCTTTTCCTTGAGAGATTGAATCTTAAACCAAAATATCTGTACATTTCTAAAGACCTTGATTATTCCTATTCCTACTGTAAGATAATTACAGAAAAATAACTTTAAACTGTCAATATGCATAACTAAACACTAGAAACAGTTGTTCAGATGAATAGAATTCTCTTCTGAGGAATAGTTTATACAATTTACATTTACTGTGAAAAAATGAATTTTCTAGGGAAATAAAATGAGCTTAGGGTACAAATAATCAGAACGCATTATATATTCGTAAGAAACTGTCAAAGAACAAATTTAATCGATTTCAGAGTAGTGTTTTTTGTTTTGTTTTTTTGTTTGTTTGTTTGTTTTTTGTTTTTTGTTTTTGCACAGCATTGGATTAATCAGGAAGTCATTCTGGCTATAGAGGTTCTAAGTCGAGGAAGTATCAGTGTTTGGCGGTTCCAGTGACTTGAAGACAGTTATTGATCTTTGTGACAGGGAAATATGAGAGTCTCATTGGTGGAGTCATATATTGGAACTACTGAGAGTCAGGCATGAAAATTCACACTTTATTTTAAAGTTAGAACAGTGCTGAAAATTTACGGTCATACTTGAGAAAAATTAAAGTAACTTCTGTGAAGATAGATTTTTAAGAAAGACTGTAAGTGGAGAAGTTGTCTAAGTTTACTTTGCAAAGATTGAAGATCTGTCCAAAACAGGAGCAGTTTTGGCAGAAGTGATAGATGTAGTAGATCTTTTATTGGCAGAGTTCATGGCAGATAGTTTCATGCTCAGTGTATAAGCAGGTGTGCAAGTGTGAAGCATCTTGGTACTGTTTGTACCTGTAAAATTGCTGTTTGTATTTTAAGAAGTTTGTTTAATCTGACATAAAATTTTATCAGATCTTTTTGGTATATCTGTTAATATCAGAATTTTAGCAAGATACGTTAGCTCACATCTGTTATAGCAGCAGCACCTTGAAGACAGGGATGCTACCTGGGAGTTTCTGATTTGATTGGGCTACTTGGCTACATTCTGCTTCCAAAAATAGAAAACAAAAATTTAGAGCTCTATTAAAGGAAATTTGACAGTAGAAATTAGACTTGGAGTTAATTTATTTGCATGTTATAATTTTGCCACTAAGATACTAGAATCATGTGTCAAGGGTATTGCTTAATCTCTTCTGTTCCAGGTTTGTAAGGAATTATTAAAATATGCCAGCTAAATCATTGAGACTATTGCTACACCATTACTTGATGCATAGAGTCTTGGCCTCAACCTAATGAAATT